AGTAAAACTGAAACTTTTCACAGTTCACCTTCTGTGAAAGGCAAAGGGACTTTGAACAAACAGTAACTTATGCCAACATAACCACCTGCTGCAAACCTTCCAATGGTTCCTTTCTTCGAGGGTAGCTTAGGAACAAATTGGCAACTAGCCTTTGACATGTAAAAGTACCAATTTGCCATCGAAACGAATGAGCGAATCGAGAGGAACTGGTTGTCCCACTGGCGAGGCGAATTTTCTACCCTTGGCTTAAGAATAGCATTTCTTGGTATCACATTATGCCCACCATCAGAAGATAATATCTATCACCTGATCTGCACCAGTACCAATTTACTATCAAAAAGAATTACAAAATTACGAAGAAACTGATGTCTGTAATTTCAAATTATGGGCTTTAACCTGTTCTTTTTCCACATTTTCCCAAAAGTCTGTTTCAGGATGATGGTTCATCGAAGATTGTATATCGCTTGGAGGGCCAAGGAGTTGGTGAATTCTTTCGTGTGGATCGGCACACTGGTAACATACAGGCAATTCGTGCTCTGGATCGAGATCCGCCAGCTGGAGTGCCAGTTTGGAAGTTCATCGTACAAGCAATCGACGATGATGGGCGTGGATTAATCGGTTATGCGGATGTCCAGGTAATTCGGATCACAGCGGCTTTTTCTGTGTTTGCAGGAGTCTTCTAGGGCAGTGATTACTTATACTTGGAATACGCTTCTGTTAATCTTTTCTACTGTACGATAAGTAACAAAATTGAGTACCGCTATAGCCTATTTTCACAAATTTTTAGGTAAATTTACGCGATGTCAATGATAACGCTCCTATTTTTGCAAGCAACCTCTTCGGTACCATTGATGAAAATCGCGATCCTGGAAGTATGCTTCGTTTCATTTTCACAAAATTTTTCACATTTTTTGATTCATTCAAAATAAAAGCATTAGTTCTGGGCAATTGTCTTTTAATGTTTTTAAAAATATCTTACCAGAAAACACAAAAGCTAAATTTTTTAAATGTTTTTTTTTTTTATTTGCGAGTAATAAAGGCACTCATAAATTGCCCGATTAGTATCACACTGCCAAAGCTACCAAATTTTTTTCTTTTTTTGCCCACACTCGCAGGAATGCAAGTCAAATAGTAGTGTGATGGCCTATCACACTGGCGATAATGAGATCCACAGAGTCGGCGCCGTTTTGCAGCTCCATCTCTAGAAAATTGGGACCTTTTGCCTTTTCTAGTTTTTTGCGAAACTAAATATAAATTAATATTTCCAAAAATAGCAAAAAGTTAGTGGTAGTCAACTAATTTACCGTCAGGATAGGCAATTGACTGGCCACTACCCGATGCAGTCTCTGGTCAGTGAAACTGTAGAAGCTACTAACTGTACTGTATTGTTAGAGAACCAGCCATCAACTGGGCTGGTTATAATGAACCAAAAGAAGCTTTGCAACGGAATTTTATGCTACTTGCAGAAGATGGAGTATATGTAATGACAGTAACAGCTACGGATTATGATGATCCACGAACTGAAAATGCTCGACTGGAATACGGCATTGTGGTGAACAAGGAAATCGATGGGGAACCAGTTTTCCGGATTGTTCCAAGCAACGGGAAAATTTATGCCATGGTGCTCAGTTGTCTTGCTTCTTTGTCACAGCGCAGTTTTTATGCGTTTTTTGCAGCAATGCAATGCGAAAAACGCATATTGACGAGGGGTTGTCTGCGTGTGTGTGTGTGTCTGTGTGTGCGCTGAGCGTCTGTACCGATTTTTCATCTCGAAACCCACAAAAGCTACAGGGCTGAAACTTTGGGGACTTAA